TGGTGTCTTACCTGTCTGGGTGTGGTCTTAGGGATTCTTTGGTTGGGCTGTTTATTAATGGCTCTGTGGCAGTTTCTTGATTGGGGTATTGCTTACTTGATTGTTGGTCTGAAGGTGACTTCGGAGTTAAAACCTTCAGACCAACAATCAAGAAACTGCCACAGAACCATTAGTAAACAGCCCAACCAAAGAATCCCTAAGATTGCCCCCACCCACACAGACAGGCAAGACACCAGAATATAAACTGAGAGCAAACAGCACTCCTTACAAAGATTCACTTCCATTCCTTTTCCCGGGCTTTCCTTATAAATCTCCTCCCTTTCTCTGTCATCTGAATTAACTCTAAAAATACCAGACAGTTCTGTATATTTTGTCAAAGCAATAATATCCTATATTAACAGCATTGACACACTGATGATGTTACCTAGTTAGAGTAATGAAACATCTGCAAGAAAACAAGCAAGCTCAGAGAGCATCAAGGATCCCTCATTTCAACCCTGAGCTACAAATATTTTCCTTCAGATTTATCTGTATTTGTTAATTGTTATGCTCACCAGCAACTCAACACTGCTTATTTTGTATTTGGGTTCTTATTGTGTTTCTACTTTTTCCAGTTTCACCATCCTGTTCCTTTAATAAGGCATCCAGATCTACGCACAAGGCCTGTTTTATTGGAGGATAGGTGGCTTTAGCTACATGTCAAGCTGCACACAGAGTAATGTATAGTGAAGACAGAACACACAACATAAATCACATGATGGAGAAGTGAATTGTAGAGCAGTTAATACAGTTCCATGATAACTGATAAAGGCGCAATAATAGCATCACAACAGAATATAAATGTATATGCTCAGACTCATACATCAAAGTGGTCTATGGTACCACATCCATGCTTTGCTCACATGTTTAACTTACATCTGGGAAATGAGGGGAGAAAGAAGGCTGTAGTGAATAGTCAGTATAGGCTGCTTGATAAGACCTGTTATTTGAGGAACTGCCTGTCTCCCATAATACCTGCCTGGCTGATTCAATCGTGCAGGGTTGGTCCACTCCAAATTCATATAATTAAACAATGTTATTCTATTGGGATCCTGGAAGTGGACCTTCACCTGCCCTTTGGAATAAGTTCCCTTCAGATCTGGATGTCCCCTCACCCTCTACTGTTGTTTACAAGAGATATGTGAAGAGCAGGCTCTTCACTCAGGCCTTTGAATGAGGGAGAATAACTTTCATAACAGCCCAGGGGCATTCAGGAGTTCCTCCATCTCAGCCAAAGAAAATAATATAATAATAGAGCTGGAAGGGACCTTGGAGGTCTTCTAGTCCAGCCCCCTGCTCACACAGGAGAGCCTATACCATTTCAGACAAGTGACTGTCTAGTCTCTTCTTAAAAATCTCCAGTGATGGAGCACCCAGGATTTCTGGAGGCAAGCTGTTCCACTGGTTAATTATCCTCACTGTCAGGAAGTTTCTCCTTAATTCCAGATTGCTTCTCTCTTTGATCAGTTTCCAACATTGTTTCTCGTCCTTCCCTCTGGTGCTTTGGTGAATAACGTGACCCCCTCTTCTTTGTGGCAGCCCCTCAAGTATTGGAATACTGTTATCATGTCTCCCCTATTTCTTCTTTTCTTTAGACTAGCCAGACCCAAGTCCTGCAGCCATTTTTCGTATGTTTTAGTTTCCAGGCTTTTGATCACCTTAGTTGCTCTTCTCTGTATTTTTTCCAAACTCTCAACATCTTTTTTATGATATGGTGACCAAAATTGGCCGCAGTATTCCAGGTGTGGTCTTATTAGGGTTTTAAAAAACAGTACTAATACTTCATATGATCTTGATTTTATGCCTCTGTTTATACAACCTAGGATTGTATTAGCTTTTTTGGTTGCTGGTGCACATTGCTGGCTCATAGTCAAATGATCATCCACTAGGACTCCAAGGTCCCTCTTACAGTTACTGTTTTAGAGCCAGGTCTCGCTCAAACTGTACTTGTACATTTGATTTTTCCTGCCTAAATGTAAAACTTTGCTTTTCTCCACATTAAAGTTCATTTTGTTGGATAGGACCCATTGTTCACGTTTGTCAAGATCTTTTTGGATCCTGAGCTTGGCTATTCCTGCCAGTTTAGTGTCATCTGCAAATTTGATGAGTTCCCCTTCTATTCCCTCATCTAGGACATTTATGAAGATATTGAAGAGTATTGGGCCTAAGACGGAGCCTTGTGGTATCCCACTGCTTACTTCTCTCTATGTGGATGTAGTACCATTGAGGACCACTCATTGAGTATGGTTTGTCAGCCAGCTACAAATCCATCTGGTGGTGATGTTGTCCATTCCACCTCTTTCTAGCTTACGAAAAAGTAGTTTGTGGTCTACTTTGTCAAATGCCTTACTGAAATCTAAGTATAGTCCGTCAACGGCATTTCACTGGTCTACTAATTTAGTCACTTTATCAAAGAATGAAATAAGATTGGTTTGGCATTATCTGTTTTTAACAAACTCATGATGGCTACTAGTTATAACTTTGTTTGCTTCTAGTTGTTCGCAGATCTGTTTTTTGATTATCTTTTCCAGGATCTTCCCAGGTATTGATGTTAGTCTGATTGGTCTGTAGTTTCCTGGATCTGATTTTTTTCCTTTCTTGAAGATGGGAACCACATTAGCCCTTTTCTAATCCTCAGGTACTTCCCCAGTGCTCCAGGATTTTTGAAAGATATGGTTCTGAGATAACATCTGTCAGCTCCTTGAGAACTCTGGGATGTAATCAGTTGGGTCCTGGTGATTTACATTTGTCAATGTCCAATAGTTGTTCTCTTACCATTTTCTTGCTTATTTTAATTTTTATTTCTAGTTTGTCTTTTGCAGTAGTTTTTTTAGTATGTTGGGCTATAATTTCTTTTTGTGTGAAGACTGATGCAAAGAATGAGTTAAGCAGCTCTGCTCTCACCCTACTGCCTGTTATTTCCTTGCCATCTTCTCTTTTTAGTCGACCTACAGCAGTGTTGGTGAACCTATGGCACGCATGCCAGAGGGGGGCACTCAGAGCCCTCTCTGTGGGCACACATGCCGTTGCCTCAGCCCCGCCTTCCCCCACAGCCCCCTCCTCACCAGCAGCACCCCCAGAGGAGAGTCACCCCCAGGCATGGCCCGCACAAAGCAGCGCAGCCAAGGACATGGCAGCCGGCCAGCGGGGACAAGACTTCGTCCTTGCGCACCGTCATGTGCAGATGATGCTGTGGGGTGCGGGCAGAGGGCGTGGCCATGGCGCTGCAGGGCCGCCTAGGCGCTCTACGGCAGGCCATGGATGCGGTGGGTGGCCCTGCAGGTGGGCAGGGGGTAGAGCAGGGGTGGGGGGCAGGGTGGGGGGCAGGGCAGGGACAGTTTTTGGGCACTCGATCTCTAAAAGGTTCGCCATCACTAACCTACAGTTTCCTTGACTTTTTTCTTGTTATTAATATGTTGAAAGAAACTTTTTTTGTTATCCTTGATTTCTGATGCAAGTCTTAATTCATTCTGAGCCTTTGCTTTCCTGACTTTATCTTTGCATGTTCTGGCTCTCTGCTGATAATCAGCCTTAATTATTTTCCCTCTTTCCATTTTTTATACTCGTCCTTTTTGTCATTC